TGACATGACATATGCATAGATTTGTGACTCAATAATTCTACTTATAGTAATTGTATATTTTTATATAGAAATACACATGTGAGAAAAGATATGCACAGTGATATTCATTTCAGCCCTGTTTGCAATAGTAAAAGATTGGAAATAACCCAGAATGCATCAGAAGTGAACCAGTTCAATAAAGTATTGTACAGCCACATAATGGAATTCATGCAGCTATAAAAATAATGACTTTTTATGTACTGCAATGACTTCCAAGATGTGTTATGGAGTGAAATAAGTAGAAGGTGAACGATATGATAGTATGCTATGAGTGGTGTCCTCCACCATAGTGACGTCTAGACACATTTTTGGTTGTTACAATGGGGAGCGGGGTGCTACTGCCATTTAGTAGGTAAAAGCCAGGGAGGCTGCTAAACATCCCACGATGTGTCAGGCAGCATCCTACAAAATATAATTATCTGGCCAAAAATTTCAATAGTGCTGGGGTTAAAACTACCTTTTTAAAATCCCCAGGGTCTCCTTGGTTTTAGGGTTTCATGAAAAAGTTTATATTCATTCAATTATTGATTTGTTATAAAACTCAGCCCAATTCTTTCTTAATCCTTCATATTTCCAAACTGGAAAGTCCTGATAGTTTAGATTGCTTGTCTTCTTGATTTCTTTAGATGTCCTTCTCCAACTCTGTTAAGTCTTTCTTGAAATTGATTGGTTATAAGTGCCAAAGTCATTTCAGGGAGGACTGAGATGATCCTGTAGGAGAGTAAAATAATGCAGAAGCGACTTTCCTGTTACTGTCAGGTGCGGCCTATCCTGCTGTGAGATATTACATTAGGTAATTGACTTAATTTATTGTTTCACTCATTAACCTGTAATTACTCAGAAATCCAAAGTATTACTTGCCACTAGGTATTTGTACCCAGTGAGCATGAGGAGCAAAGCCAGAGTCACCACAGCACTTTGGAGGTGGGAAGGGTTGGCAGGAGTTTCAGATGGCTAAACCAAGGTTTCGATGATGCTCAGTGGAATATAGTGGTGTTATTGCAACTGGTCCCTTTCATGGAAACATACCCTTCTGAGTATGTTCCCTGTGTGGTCTGTATTGATCAGGTTCAGCTGTCCTAAGGGACTCAGACTAATAGTGAATTAAAGCAAGATTTTGTTTCCTTTTCTCTCAAATAAAAATCCCAGGTGGGTTCATGGCTTTGCTAAGAAATTTTGTCAGGGCTCAGGCTCCTTCTATCTTCTTACTGTATCTACTTTACAGTGATCAGACAGCCCAACACCATATTTACAGTGAGCCAGAAAAACAGAATAAGAGGAAGGAGAAGGCATCACTCATCATTTTAAGGCAGCTCTTTAAGGGTACAATTCAGGTGGCTCACATCAGTTCCACTCATACTCAGAACTTATATGCATGGCCATATCCAGCAGCAGAGGAGGGTGTAAAATATAGAAACTGTAGTCTTAATCTCTGCAGGCACATATATATCTAAAAGATCTACCATAAAAGAAGGAGAAAATGGATACCAAGGTACATTTAACAATTTCTGAAATGATATCTGTTTCAGTAAGACATATTTTGGAGAAATTGTATCCCTTGGCCTGGGTCAGTTGATGACTTTCTGTCATTCACTATGTGCTTGTGAAAATAAGGAATTATTTTTCTATCAGTTTATGTTACTGCCATCCAATTCATGCTTTTCTTCTCTATCCAGGCATTATTAGTTTCATCGATGTATTCTTATTGGCATGGTTTTTCATTATGTGGAAGAACTTTTAATCATATGCAATCTTAGTGAACTTCATTGTATACTACCCACTTTCAAATTATTTTATAAACATGTTGGCTCCCGCACATTTGATACTCCTATGCTTAGAGAAGTTGTTTATCCCCTTTCAATAACTCCTGTTTCTAAGCCAGTACTCTACTCATTATAATAGATCTTCCTGGATTGCATTTAGACTCCTTTTTCAAAGAATTATTTGTACTTTTGAAGACTTAAAATTGTAAAAGTAATATCTACTGTTTTCCCTTTGACATCAATCTTTTCAGTCCTTTAAACAGGTCTAGAAGTAAACATCCGAACATTCTACTAGGAATCATTTTACTTACTTCTCATGGTTATCCTTTCCTTGGTATTCAGAAACTCTACTCACTGTTAGACTTGCAACTAGCTAAGAATGATGAGGACTTCTGATGTCTAGGTCACATGACAAAATTTATTGTTAATAGAAGTTATATTTTTCTTTTAAATTAATTCAGAAGGATGGCAAGTCTAGAATGGACATTTAGCATGTCTCTTCTTAACCTCCAAGTCTCCATAACAGTATATAGTTCATCGTTCATTATAATGAGAAATAAAACTTAACCTTATTTGTAATATATGTTATTCCAGTCAGAATGCTTACTTGGATCTTTGTAAGTCCCGCTAACTATGCTGCCTTGGAAAGCTGAACATAAACAAACACACGCACATTTCATCCATGATATATAATCAACATTATTCTCCATGAAGCCTCCAGAAGATTAAAAAATGACACATATAAGTTATTATTTATCTTCTGGATTACTATTAGGTAAAACCTCTTATTATATGGTATCTGTCCAACTTTAAAGTAACTACATAATCATGCATAGTTGAAATTTTTGGCTAAAAACAGTTTACAATTCACCAAAATATGCCTTTATATGGCTATTATTTGATTATAGAAATCAGACAAGAGAATTTGGAGGTAGACATGTGATGAAGATGACATAGTTATAATACTTTGTAGGGACATTAAAATTAATTTTTTCTTCTACCTTTTCAAGATTTTCTGGCTAGACTAACAATCAAATTAACATGCAACAGATTAATAGAAAATTTATTGTGTATGAGCACATTGGGGGGGGGGTTCCATAAGAATATGGGAACTGAGGACAACTCAGGTAGGTCAAATGAGGCTTACATGCCATTCATAGGTAGATGAGAAAGAACAAACATTTGACAAGCAAACTCTTGCTGGGCCACCCATAAAAAGTGGGACACAGAGGCTTTGCTGGTTCCTCTCTGTCTGCTATACTTCATTTATATCTTGCTAAAATGGGAGCTCCCTTTCTTTAAGCAGGTTTTTTCTATCTTAATTCCTTTAAGCAGGTAAAGGGGGAGGGTCAAAGATTCTTTCCTTGTCTGTTGTTTCTTAAAAATAAATAGCTTAATATAATTGAAATCTCAAAGGCACATTTTGGGGTAGCAAACTCTGCTTCCCCTCAGTTTCTTCTAAAATTTACATTAGAGTTCATAAAAATGTGGGCAACAAATCAAGGAGACTTAACTACAGTAACTCAGGGCAGTGAATTGAGC